AAATAACCAGAACAATAAATTGATAACTTCGAATTAACAAAGCTTTCGAATAATAACATCAACAGTAAATTAATTGATATGTTTTTTGGAATATTGATGATAGTAATATGAAAAGAAAACAACATTTTTTATTTTAACATGGCATATAATAGAAAACTTAGTATCTTAACATCTGATCATTGTATTATGTAAGTCTACTGCTATGATTTGACAATTACAAAAATTGTTATTTTTTATAGAAGAACTCTGAAATACCGGCAAAGTCAAAATAGTCTCAGAAAAAATTTTGTAAACTTATCGACTTAATATTAATAGTAAATGCAAATTCGTCTAATGGTATCACTCGACAATTTCATTATTGTTTAAATATTTTAATGAAATCGTAAATGAGAAACTAAAGAATTTAAATTGTTTGAATCAGTTAAATAAAGAAGAAAAAGAAGTTCATTTACATCGACCGTCGGTAATCTTTCAATTAATCTCGACTGTTTCTAAAGTTACATTTTATTTTCTTTTATCATAAAAGGTATATAAATCATATCAAAATGCATTATATTTAAGGTATTAAATTCGGTTTAAGATTACTTAAAGTAACTAATACCAGGCACTAATAATACTGGCGCTGTAATTTTCATTTAATCAGCGATCGATAAAACAGAATTCGAAAGAAAAAGAAATTAATACAATAAATTCTGTCGTTTTATATAAATAATTATTATACATATATATATATATATATATATATATATATATATATATATATATCACAGATATATAGATATCAGCGGAATGTCGAAAAATTAAGTACAAAAATACTAAGTCTAAACACTAAGTAAATAGCACACATAAGTGAGGCGATTACTTCTGTTTTTCATTTTTCGTGCCATAATAATAGAGAAAATTGGCATGAACTTACAATGGAACGAGTTGCAAGAAAATAAAAAAGGATTTATTGTTCGAAAATAAATAACGACGATGCGTTAAATGTCAACATAAAAAGAAAAAAAAAGATAATATGGTCAATTGATTGAATATAAACAAAAATTTCGTCGATCAAAAAAAAAAGATTAAATCAACGCATAATTCGTCTGATCAATATAGCAAGTAGCATCCATCGAAGTTCATGTATCTCAATTACATTTTTTCTTTGAAACGGTAAAAATTTATACTTCGAAAAATATATATGTTTCTATATAATAATTATATACTTTTTTATGATAAATTCCTTTCGACAAAGTATAATTTTACACATCTCGTTTTTTAATTATATTTACTTTCGTGTATATACATATACATATATATATATATATATATATATATATATATACTAACATATATATAAATATATATATATATATATATATATATACTATATATATAAATATATATATACTAACATATATATAAATATGTATACTAATATATATACTATATATATATAGATATATATATATATATGTATATATATATTATATATTAAAATATATAAGTACTATATATACTATATCTCTTTTACACAAAAGATATATAAATATGAAATCACGAAGTCTGATTCGTAGATAAACTTTCTTAACATCAAAGAACGTTTCTCTTTCTTTCATATAATTTATCGTATATACTAGAAAACAGCATATTTAAGTTTAAGAAAACTAGAATTTTGACTAGTCGAGATTATGCGTAATTATTTTTACGCTCAAATACAAGATGTTTAAGAGTTAAACTCTTTTACAGTTATTACTAATAATTCCTTTTTTCTACTTCTTCTTTTTCTCTTAAGAAACATGTGAAAACTTTTATTATAGAAGAATTCATTTGATCGTTATTATAGTTTTATAATATTATAGATAAGATCTTCTATAAGTTTTTTCGTTTTTTATTTATATTTTTTATATAAAGTAATATAATGCAAATAGTTTAAAATAGAACGAAGAAAAAGGAGAAAGAGAGAAAGAGAGAGTGAGAAAGAGAGAGAGAGAGAAAGAGAGAGAGAAACATTTGTATTTACTAATGTTTCGATTTTCCTATATGAAGGAAAAAGGCTACCTTATCATTACATTTGTGACCGCACTTGTTGCATGTATACGGATCTTCATATCCATGATAATTCATATGTTCTGTATACATTATAACATTTACAAAGGCTATTTCGCAGTAATAGCAAAATAGAGAATCACCGTTTGAAGTGGGACGATATCTTGGAACCAAATCCCTTGAACACGATGGAAGGTGATAATCTGGACGATCTTCCGAATAATCTTCTGGATGATTATCTGAATGATCTTCTGACTGCCGATCATCCATTTGATCTTCTAAGCTACGAACGTCGTTTTCTATCGTTCTCGAAAACTCATGAGTATGCTGCAACTGTGATGTTGTTTCTTCGTCTGTTTCATTATCCGAAACAACTAACCTACGATCTAACTTATACGCCTTCCCCTTTCGTCTGTTTGTACCCTTTCCTTTGATTGGGGTAACTGATCTTCTCGATTGTATATTCATA